CCGGACATGCGAGGCTGGAGAGTCTGTGAGTCTGGGGACCGGGGGCGGGAGGACCGCTGACTCGCCAGCCAAGAGAGATCGTCCAGCTGTGCGATTCACGTTTGACACCGTGAGTCGTTCTTTTGATACTCACCGTTGAGCGGTGGACTGCCGAACAGCCGTCGATCTCACCGGACCTGGGCTACCAAAGAGGTTCCATAAGTGACCGAGTCTTGCAGCTTGGAAACTTGACGTGTCGACTGCAAAGGGGACCCCGACGAACCAAGGCCCCCGCTGCTCAGCTAGAGAAGACTGGCTTGCCTTGGTTGTTGACGAGTTCCTCATACAAGCCGGGAAGAAGTGGCTTGCCTTTCGCCAGGGAACTCTGAACGGATGGCCGGATGAGCATAGCTTCACATAGCTATACTACGTCTGAGGTGTCGTTCACGCCACCACAGCACTACTGCAACTTTGCCATTTACACTAGCAAAGCTGATTTGTATAAGCTGCAGCAGGATCCACGACTTCACCTGAAGCCTGACGTTTGTTTATACGCCAAGATTGGCGACCACGCACCGGGACCCTCACTTGTGTTCTCTTTCTCAGACGTAAAAGATGGGAATTTCGCTATTACCGTACTACGGATCCGGATATTAACAACGGCGCTACTCTCGCAGCAAGGTTCGATTCAGATCTAGGGTGCAAAAAACACGGCTGCTTGAACCCTGAAGATCCTCCAAGAATGCGCCGTCTATCTTACGGTCCTTACCGAGCTCGCCGAGAGCTGGAACTCAACCGCTGATACGGGACAGTAGAGTTAAGGCACATGATTTGAAGATGCAGCCGCTTATGGGAGGCGAGGAATGCACATTTGTCGTCTCATCAGGGGGGAGAGAGACTACAGGGAGGCGATACGCCGATTGCTCGCTCACCGCTCCGTCGCGAAAATTCTCTTTTTCCTGCAGGCTCACACACCTTTTTTTGTTTTATGCGAGAAAGACTGTAAAGAGTGGATTCTCAGAGACGCACGACTGGAGGACGACCGGGGTGGTCAACAGGCCTTGTTCCACTAGGAAGGCAGTGGAGGAATGACGCTATTCCCAGTACGTCTTAGAGCAAGTAGCTGGGATTGCTCGAACCAGTTGACTTCTCGACTGTCGACTTCAACCTTGACTTCAAACCCCGACTTACATTAGGGTCGTGATGGTCTGTGCTCGTGCTGTTGGCGGCTCATGACGAGCAGTGCCACGGTCAAGTGTACACACCATCACGGGCTGTCTGTGTCTCTACCTATCTCTGCGCGCAGCTGCGGTCTGGTGCAAGAAAAGGAGGGGCATTGATTCGGACCCCTGGTGCTGCCCCTCGATCTCGTGGGGAATTGGCGATGACCGTTGGCTGCGGCCAACCAAACGCCATTCCCGCCTGCACCACGCAACCCGAGTACGCATTCTCATTCTCCCGCTTTCTCCCTGTCCTTGGACCGCAAATAGACGCCCTCAAGCGTCGCCTACCTTGTTTGGCAGGTTCCCGGTCCAACTTCCATCTGATCTCATGGCGGCCGGCATGGAAGCGAAACTCGGCGGAGCCTCTTGAGTCCCTGTTGAACGGGGTCCATTATGAAGCCTCAATTCATCCCATGCCACCAGTTACTGTACAGATACTCCGTACAAGGCCTTGCCTCATGCAGACACTTGTCGGCGCATGTACCGAGAAAGGTACGGTATACGCCATCTTTAACCTTTACTCGGTTGAGGTATGATGGAGGTTTAGAGGCTGCGTTCCTCTTGTCTTTGCACTGCCGGCAGCACACTCGCAGCAGCTCCATTCAAGATGCCACACTTTCAGCTTTCTTATCGAACAAGGCCGCAGCGTTTATTGAGTATCCGGACGGGGCTGCTGTCGAATGCTATCTATCGGAAGACCGCTCATTCCCTTCCCCCCACGCTAAGGTAGAGATTTGCTCATCTCGGGAGTCTGCACCACATAATAATTACACTACACTAACACGATGAGTACACTACTGCCTGTTAGGCTCCTGTCAGACCCCGGACCTTGTCTCTCGCGCTATCCTCTGCTACGGCCTCCGCTCTCGCACGTCAACAACCAGGTAGTCGAGGACCCAATTTGCAACCGTGGGTTTTTTTGTTTCTTTTTTGCGGGCATCGTATGAATTGCCTTCGAACCATCATGAGCTGATGATCTGACGCCTCTACAGCCACCAGCCATGACGGGCGTCATGCTATGATGGAGGATCGCGGGGAGACCTCATCCATCGCTTCATGCTTGACACATTCCCTACGCTTACCCGCAGACATGCGCCAGTCAACTTCGGGGCATACCTGGTACTCAGACTTGGGGCAGAGGCTCGAGGGACCCTCATTGAGTCTTTGCAATTTCCCACACCGCAAATGCCATCCGTACTTTTTGTACGACTTCAGTGTTGCCTCGGAATGCGGTGCAACCCACCTAAGAGTTTCTCATTCTCTTTGAATAACGGAATAGTCGCAGACGACTTGCCCTCGTGCTTCTTATTCTTTGAAGGGGCAGAGAGCACACGCTCATTGCATGCAGGCGCCCGGAATCAGGCACTCGGTGGCCTTCATGTCGGCGTCCGGAGCCGCCATCTCGGCCGGTGGAGAATGCGATCGAGCCCTGCTGCATGTTCCTCCTGTTTACAACGGCCAGCCATTGCCCGAGTTCGGTCTGCCGCCGGCGTAGGCCCCGCTACGCTGTGCGATGCGATATAGCGATACCAACAATCAGAGTGATATGGGGCATGAGTCGTTCCACTCCGTTCAGTGGAGACTAGGACCCCCCATCAGCCAACATCACGCATTATCGCTCAACCCTGGCCATTGTTGGACGACCAACCCAAGGGATGATGACGGCATCGTTTGAAAGGCGGGGTGGAACGAAGGATAATTCCTGAGCGTGAGGTGGCCGCCAGACCGAACCACCGAAGCCCACGACATCTACTGTACTCCAATCCTCCGTCCGGCAGCGGAGGCAAATGTCGGAACCCATTCGTCGCAACCAATCCCGCACGGTGAGAAAGCCGCTTACCATCACACCGCTCAGCAAGCGCCCGGCAGTGTATTCTCTACTTCACCACTTTGTGACCTCTCTACTGGTTCCTGGGAATGGCCTCACCCGAGGTCTGTACCCCGCCTACTGCAACTCCCCCTCTCTATACCTGGAGATGAGGCGATCGACAGGTCCTTCTCTGGGACAGGACGAACGCTCAGCAGCTCGCCAGAGGGGAAGAGGGAAGATCTCGCATTTCTTCAGTTGCCCCTCACTACGCCATTTGGAAAATGTCTGTTGATCAGCCGTCGAAGGTTCGACGTGGCTTCTGGCAGGCAGGGATAGCCTCGTTTCGCCCCCGTAAACTCTGAGGCTGACTGACCGCTATAGATCGCCCGCCAGCCGATTTATACACACACTATTCCACCTTGCCAAGTGGGACTTGTTAGCCGCCAACTAAGCCAGCACCAGCCTTGCCAGCCAACTTTTTTTCTGGAAGTTTTGTTTTTCCTTCGTCGGACTTCTTTGCAACCGCCGGCCACTTACACGGACAGCACTTACACAGGCTTCACCCCAGCCACCACCGCCGAACAACCACGCTGTCGGTGGTTCGCGATGCGATTCCCTAGGCGTTTGCTCGATCTGCACCTACCGTGACATCCTGCTTTTTGGCAGGCGCTAGCCGTTGGCTCAGTCCACAGTCCACGTATCCCGCCCCAAGGACCTCACGATTGCTTCCAGCTCCCGGAATTCCCACAAATGCCATCCATCTTCTGGGCCCGGAACCATGGACATCAGGGAAAATGCCCGCCGCGGCGGTTGGGTCGGAGTCGACTCCGCGAGGTCGAGGCGTCGAGAGACCGTGTGTACACACTACTTTCTCATCTTCCGATGCACGCCATATAGGACAAGGACAAGGCGAGACACACTCGGTTGCCAAACATAGAATTGGGTCGTCCTAGTATGTCCGATCATCAGGAACACCAGAGAGGGCCGATCAGGGGCACTAGGCCGATCTGTGCCCATGGCCTCCTACCCCTCCCGTTCTGTACGCCGTGAATATCAGAAAGCACTCTTTTCTTCAAGTGAAGCGGCACTCTGAGACACACGGAGGGGTAACGGTCAGGCTGTAAGGGGCGGTCTGGTGAAGATGTTGACTTGGCCCCTCAGGATGCACGTACGCCTCGCTGGAACCAAGGCAGTTGCGTTTCTTGCTGTGTCAGGCCCACGAGTTGTGTTGGATCGAGATGCGTTTTACGGGTTTCGAGAGGGGAGCTCTATAGGGCTGCTTACACTCTGTCGGTCTGGGCCCGGTTGAGAGAAGGAGCGTGGTTGCGGAGGATCGACGATGTTATTGACGATTTCTTACTTCTGCACCATGGGGAGGATGCTGCGGATACGGATGGGTACGTTGGCGGGGTTGGCCAGCAATATGCGCCAACAGCGCCTCTCTGGGTTCCATGTGATTTGAAGAGATTTCGAAACTTGTTGTTGATGACATTAACGTTGCGAGTCGGCTTTGGAGGGGAACAATGGCGCCGGGCGGGATGAGTCTCGCCGTCTCAAGGCAGGGTGGTCCTCCTCTTCGATTCTGGCTGGATCTTGCTGAGTGACACACCACGTCTGCGCTGAGGGCATGACACGGCGAGGCTCGTGGGATGTGAAGATGGTGTCACTATGAAGTCGTGGGCGCACGGCTCTCTGAATGGCAAAGGTAAGTTACCGCGCGACACTGGTCCAGCATCTATTGTGAATGTTTGAGATATCAGTTTTGTCTAGTTTTCTCTTGGCTATCTTGTTCATGGAGACATCTCCATCCACCATTTTGAACATTTTCCTCTGCTAGAATCTCGTCTACATTGGGATTCAATCATGATACAGTATTGTACAACCTCGCTCCAAGATACGAGAGCAGCTAACCTCCCTCTCAGGGCAGATGCCAACTCTTCCCTCATCCACAAACCCGTCAATCACACACACATACACTTTCACACATTTCACGCCCCAATCTTGACAAGACGATCAATAGCCCGTCCATCATCCAACGCCCAGCCCGTAGAGACGTCCAGCTTGAGCTTCTCCCCGCCGGCCTCCATCCTCATGAACCCTTCCTTGGTGATGGCCCGCCGGACGCCGTACCACACCGCCTTAAATCCTTTGCTCGCGTGCCGGAACGGCGTCGTCATGAGGTGTCCCTTGTCGTACTCCCAGTCGGCTCTTGCCTGCACCTGCCTCTGCCGCGCGGCGGCCCTCTCCATGGCGGGCGTGGGCGTTACGAGGGGCGAGTAGATCCGGGTTGGGATGGTGACCTGGTCCGGCACGAGGAGGAACTTTTTGGGGGTTCCCGGGAGGATGCGCTCGCATGTGATTTCGAGTACGACGGGAGTTGCTTTTGCGCTGGACACGCCTAGGGGCAGCACACTGGCGGCGGACTTCCCGCCCGCGGACTTCAAGAGGGAAGCCGTTGGCACGGCGCGGATGATCTTGACGATGTTGCGGGCGTTGAAGAGGAAGTAGGAGCCGAAGCCGGCGGTGGCGACGCAGATGAAGGCGAAGGCGTGCGGAACCCAGGCGGCGAGGTCGGGAGGGGGGTCGAGGAGGGTGAAATAGTAGTTTATGCCGGCGTAGGAGTAGAACATTGTGGCGGCGGACCAGGCTGAGACCTTCATCCAGAGGTGGGAGGCGGCTTCGTAGAGGACCGTTGGTTGGGGGCGCTGGGCGAGGGTTGTTGCGAGGGCGTAGGCTGAGCCGGCTGCGGCGCCGGTGCCTGGTGCTGGCGTCGCGGGGTTCGTTGTCGTCTTTGGTGATGTTGATGGGAGGGGAGACTTCGAAGGAGGAGGAGGAGGAGGTTTGGAGACGGCGCTGCGGGTAAGGTTGCTTGGGATCGTTGTCGTGCGCGAGGGTTTTGCGGCGTATCGGAGGGGGTTCAGGGAGCTGAAGAGTCGGCGGGAGAGGAGGGGTTGTGTCGTTGCCGTTGCTGCTGTCGTCGTCGCGTAGAGGGGGCCGGGTCGGGAGACGAGGCAGAGGTAGAGGCTCATGCCTCTCGAGGAGGCTGCCATGGTTGCGGATTGCTAATGCTGGTGACAGACGACCTAGGAAATGAATCCAATGACACAGAAAGATAGAAACAGATGGCCGTAGAGGTTTGCGCCGTGGTGGCTGTGGCTCAATGGGTCCCGTCAGAAATCCGTCAAACACTCGTGATATCGTACGTGGAAATTGAAGCTATCCAGAAAAGTTTCTGTGGAGCATCAGACATCTCTACGACAGGGGTAGGATGTGTCTCCACTATCGAAATGCGACGTCCAATCTGCAGCAGGGGACTTTTTTTTTTGTCCTTGCCTGCCCGTGCTGTAAGGTGAAGTGCGGTCGGAGAGCGGCGCAACGATAAGGCGCCACAGATGCTCAAAACCGCTCAAAAAGCGAGTACGTACTTTTTGGTTGTCATCCGATCTAACGGGCGAGGAAGGGGCCAATGAGACCAACAAATTGGCGGCATTTCCTTGGTCCGTGCTTGCCCAGCGTCCCCCGTCCGCCGCCAAAATTCGGCGATAAGCCACACCAGGCCCAGGCCGGTCCCACCCCAACAGGTCCATGATTGCTGGCGCTAGAGGAAGCTCACCCAACGGAGCTCGACAATTTTATCCTTGCGCGAGAGAAAGAGACGCAGAGAGCACAAGGCGCCGCCCCGGGTTCGCTTTTTCGACCACCGACACCGACCACACCCGAACGGACAAGCCTTCCTTCAACCCACTTTGGCGATTTCCTCTTCTTTTTTTCCTACCTTGTCCACCATCCTCCGTCCGCCTCCGAAGACCGAGTTGCCTACGCCCTCTTGTCTTGTGGTCCGACTACGGAAAATCAATTGAGGAGGTTTTTTTTCCCTTAGGAACTTCTCCCTCAATTGCACCGATCCGAACCCGCTCCGCTCCCTACGCATCCCCGAATAAAGCTCCGGCTCCGACGAACGGTTTCCGTAAACTGTAAAGATGGCTTCCCTTGCGACGGCGGCTCGTCTTTCTGCGAGGGTTGCTGGCCGGAGAATACCGGCAGAGTCCACAGCTCGAGGTCCGTAGATCACTCCGTCCCCTCTCAGAGATGCTGTAGCTGTCAGCAGATATACCCTTTTGCTGTCCCTCTGCAACGACGTGAAACCGCGAGACAAAACCGGAGCTGACCACTCTTCGGACCCCCATAAACAGGCTTCCGGACTTCAGCACGATGCCTTGCGGCCCAGAACTTCTCCATGCCCGCCCTCTCCCCGACCATGACGGAGGGCAGCATCGCCAGCTGGAAGGTCAAGGAGGGCGAGTCATTCTCCGCCGGCGACGTGCTCCTCGAGATCGAGACGGATAAGGCCACCATGGACGTCGAGGCCCAGGACGACGGCGTCATGTTCAAGATCACCACCGGCGACGGCGCCAAGGCCGTCCAGGTCGGCACCCGTATCGCCGTCATCGCCGAGCCCGGTGACGACCTCTCCTCTCTCGAGGTTCCCGCCGAAGACAACACCTCCTCCTCCTCGAAGCCCGCTCCCGCCGCCGAGAAGCCGGCGCCCAAGAGCGACGGCCCCGCGGCGTCATCGGCCCCATCGCAGCAAAAGGGCGGCGCGGCCAAGACCTCCGGATCCAAGGCCCGCGAGCAGCGATACCCCCTCCTCCCCTCCGTCCAGGCTCTCGTCAATGGCCACGGCCTCGACAAGGACGCCGTCAACCAGATCGAGCCCACGGGCCCCAACGGCCGCCTCCTCAAGGGCGACGTCCTCGCCTACCTCGGCACCATCAACGCTGAAACCCCCTCCAAGATCATGGACCGCGCCGTCAAGATGTCCCACCTCGACCTGAGCAACATCAAGGTCGCGCCCAAGAAGGAGGCCCCCGCTCCCAAGAAGGTCGAGGCAGCCCCCGCGCCCGCCGCCCCCGTCGACTCTGAGGTCGCCCTCCCCATTTCCCTCGCAAAGGTCCTCGAGGCCCAGAAGCGCATCCAGTCCACCCTCGGCGTATTCATGCCCGTCTCCACCTTTGTCGCCCGCGCCGCCGAGGTCGCCAACGACGACCTGCCCCCCTCGGCCCGCAAGGCCACCACCGACGAGCTCTTCAACCAGGTCCTCGGCCTCGACAAGCTGGCGCCCCGCGGCTCGCGCGGATACTACCTGCCCCAGATCTCCGCCCTGCCCGAGTCTTCGCTCCTGGCGCCCCGCGCGTCCAAGAGATCGTCCTCGGCTGATATTATCGATTTCCTCGCCGCGCCCGCCAAGAAGGCTGTCCCCGCTAAGAAGCCGGTCGCTGCTCACCACACCCCTGGCATGTCGTCGGGAAGCAACCTGTTCACCGTGACGGTGCCGCAGGGCGATGAGAAGCGCGCCAAGGTGTTCTTGGAGAGGGTCAAGGTGATTTTGGAGGAGGAGCCTGGCAGACTTGTTCTGTGAGTTGCTGTACTTGTGAGGAAGAAATAGACGGAGACGCCTTGGGAGACCCCGTGGATTTTGGTGGAGAACATGAGAACGAAATATTCATCATCACCAAACTGAGGAGACTGATAGAGATCTTTTTCTTACACCCGACGCGGTGGGAAGAGAATGTACTTGTAGCGTGTTATGGAAGTGGGATACAGTTGAAAACGTCATATACATCTATACACCGTCCCAATTTCAGCTTTTCTAATCATCTTCCTAACCTCACTGGTCGTCAAGAGCAATGCCCGTACCATATTGGCCGAGCTGCCTCGTCCTGCAGCTGTCGGAATGAGTTGCGACCTTATTGGCAAAGGCTCTCAAATGTATCTTGCCCAAGGGTGTTTTATGTGGGTTTTCACTCACTGGACCTGGGAACCACATCGCGGCGCTATCAGTCTCCAACGTCTCCCCCTTTTCCATTTCGTCAAGTAATCGTCAGACAGTCGCGGTCCTGGTGCTTCTTCAACACAGAGTATAGAACATTTTATCAAGAACTACGCTGATGAAGACTGGATTTGTGTGGACTACGTTGGGATTTCATCTCCACTGGTGACTCTGCCCGCTTGACGTACACATCGGATGGGTCCTCATGTGCCATCAATTGTCCTTTTTAGCAGACCAAGTAGATGTCGACAGCTATGAACATCGCCGGGCATACTGCATCTCCTCCAAGTTGGCAGGCGAATCTTTCGTTTCGATATTAATAGAGCGGATGCGGCCCAAGAAGCTGGTGGAGTCCTGCTGAAACTCGTTGAAAGATTCACCCTATCTCCTTGTGGTGTGTCTCGGTGTCCATCTGCGTAGTATTTCAATGCGAATACGGACCAGGGGATGAGCCACGGGTTTGTCTACTTGATCTTTGGCGGGCGATATGAAAGTCACTGGCGATCTTAGCCTCTTGTCCTCTCGGTTGGTCCAATCCATAGGGAAAAGACGAGCTCGGGTTTTACCAGATGGCATCAGCCTCACTCCTCATCCCGTTACTCTACTCACGACATCTCGCACCGCAGACACGGTTTTACATCGGGAGCTGGTCGTAAACCGAGGATTTGCCAGAATTCGTCGGTATATATAACCTTGCCTCTCTTCACTGAAGGCGCAGCTTTTGAGTGGCGGAATCTCTATTCGCTTTCCAAGGGCACATGAATTGATCGGGGCCCTGTGGCATGAGGCGGACAATGTTGAGCATTCAGGGAACTTTGATATAGAATGTGCTCCGGCGCCGCGTCGATTGCCTCGATGGCACCGTCCCGCTTGACGCTTCGGGTCTCTATAAGAATGGCTGGGTATTGAAACTCGCAGCTGCGCCCACACCCTCTGCCGCTTCGACTAATCACTTTCGAAAGTGCTCTGTTTCTTCCAGGACTTTGAGATTGTTGTTGGTAGCTAGCGGGCCTGTGGAGGATGTTCGTGATCTTCATTCCCTTTCGAGATAACTATGTCATGATGGAAACTCTAGCAAGCCGTAGGTGTAGGGAAATGAAGACCCTACGCCTAGAACAGATAGTGTGGAGTGAGGTGTCATAAGTCTAGTCTATACCTTACACTGATTCAGACGGCAATTTCTCCTTCAAGGCGTCTCTTGTAACGAGACATAAGATCGCTTGGACATATTGTGAGTCTCAACCTCCGCTTGAGCATGTCGGCGCTAACACAGAGATGCAGCTCTCCCAAACTCAGCTTAGCGAAGCTGGCGATCACTCACTTTGGATTAGCAGTGATCTTTCTCAGGATGTACATGACGGCATAGAGTGACAGTCAGTGTAGATACAACTTCCCGGCAGAAGCTGGATCATGACATGACAACTACTTACATGACACACCCATCAATTCTCTACGGGATCTTGCCGCTGGCTGTTTGACTCACCAAGAAAACTGAAACACAAACAAAGCACCGAAAGGATGACCCTGCAGGCAGGGCTAACAAGATCCGAACCCTGTTTGACTTGCTCTCACAGCTCATCAGCTATGAATCATGGAGAGTCATTTTCCCCAAATCTCATAATTAGGTGCCTTGATCATGAGTATCGGATAATCTGCAGCTTTATTCCTGCATGCGACGACGATGAGTGTCAAATAGAGCGAGCAGAGGACCTCCAACTGCAATTTAGGTTTTCCAGCGCTTTTGTTGCACACCATACACTTTGCGAGAAATCCCAGCTTCCATAGATCTTCGCTATAACTCAGTCACTTATTTCGGCAGGTTGCAACTCCAGCGTTTCTTGTTCTTATGCCGGGGGGGGGGGGAAGTTCAAGCCTCGAGAACCAACCCTCGTCGACGGAGCAAGGATAAACGTCCGACGGGGCTCGCGCCCCCAGTCACGTCACACGTCCTGATCGATGAGAGAGAGAATGACCAAGATTTGACTTGCGATAGAGACTCACCGGGTTTGAATCGCTTTCTTGGACCCGGCCAGGGAAGCATGCTTCATGTCTAGATCTCTACAATCGCTTAACTCACGATTGCTCACAAAGAACGGTAGATCAAGCGTGACCAAGCTATCTGAAGATAGAATCCATGCATCAATACTGTTCCGAATCTAACGTCCGTTGTTGCATACAACTCCTCTGCCCTGTCTGTCAAACCCCCCTCCCCTTTCCCCAAACAACGCGCCGGCGAAGCTAACGTCACTAGATTCCCAGGCACTAAGTAATATAAAAGCAGCCATCTCCGTGTTCTCACTTCCGCCCAATCGGTACCGGTGTCGGCGCAAGATGGTAGTGGGATACCTGAGGAAGACTCGTGACATCCCACAGGCGAGTCCCGGCTGAGTCTGACCCATTGCTCTGTCTGCACTGGTAAGGATGATGTCCTGTATTACTAGTCAAATCAGAATCAAGCTAATCCTCCACCCTTCCGTCCCTCTGCTGGATATTTCATGAGAATATGCAGACGATGATTAGAACTCCTCGAAGACAGGCTTCTTAGAATGACTTTCGTTCAACGATTTAGCCCACGAGCCTCATGGTGCTCGGTAGGAGTATGGGTACACTCAGACTGCCATGTTGTAACCAGTGTATTCCTTCAACACCAGAAGACTGTACTTCTGAAGACATGATCTGTGGATGGGGGAGGAAAAAAAATAATGAAATGTTACGTCACGCCTTATAAAGAAAACTTTCCAACAGAGTCTACCGTCAACATGACACCTCGAAATATGAACTTGGAAATTCATAACATTCCTAGACGTATCTTCACCATATTTCCCTTTTTATTCGTTCGCCTTGTTCTTCCGGCCTTTCTAAGTTAGACTGCTGCTCTTACTTGGTAGCCCTCTGCCTACGTACATTCATCACAGCTGGCAAGTAGTCTCATCTTCTTATCTTCCCCTCGACGCTGAGATCTAGACTCTACGGCATATCCGACAACCCTGGTTTTCAATGATATCACGCAAAAGAAAGGCTCTTGACGGCAAGTCACGGAGCTGAGCTGGCTTTTCGATTTTCTTTTACAACATAGATATGCTCAGCCTCTTCAAGCAACATGTCAACTCATCGCCGCAAAATCCTTACTGCGGGGTTTGCATACTGGGTCGCTGGTACAGATTTTTCAGCACCAGGCTATTCCCGAGCCATATTGCCATCAGCAAAGGCGTTTCAATTACCCCGAGTACACTCTCATTGAGTGCCACCTCAATAGGATGAAGACCCTCAATGGCGGCGATGGAGATTGAATATGGGCAGGCAAGAGCCAACCGCATGGCTCACTCATTTTATAGAGACTGTTCGAGTATTATCGCTGTTCACACAATCCGTTTAGAGGGTAACGCCGTTCATCTTACAACACTGAAGACTCAAATTTGACCAAATAAGTGAGTATATTGCAGTAGAGGGACTTCGTTGTCAAGATAATTTCTCTACATCTTTGGATTCAAAGTCTCGAAATGCGAGAGTTGCTCACCTATCAAAGACGCAGCCTCGGACACTGGCCACCGTATGAATGGCAAAGACGCAAGACATCGTAAGGTATTATCACGTAACGAATGGCAAGTTCGCAAATCTTTGTCACAGGCGAATGACTTGGACGGTCTTCGCCAACGTCGCAAAGCGGGTCAGGAAGTTTGCCGAGGTCGGCAGTGAATGAGAACCCCGGTTATGCCAGTTGACTCGTGTGACAAGCTCCCAATAGCACCATAAGCCCAGGCGCTCGACGCCACCGTACGGAGAGAAACTTCGTGCTTCAATTTGGCGATACTTGCTCTTTGCGCCTGTGTCTTTGCTTACCTTACACAAGTGAATGTTAAACAGTTGCTTTGACGCCCATAACATAGGCCTAGAGCGCGATCGTGGTATTTTGAGCAGACTTCCAGAAGGAGAGTAGAAGATAAGCTTGCCAGCAAGCTATCGTTGTACCAAATAGAGTGATTCCTGCTTGGCCTTGAGGTGACTTCATCACACCGGCCTTTAATGAGAGCTATTGCGGAAGGACTTCAAGGTAATTAACGCGAAGAATAACAACTTGCTTGAACGTGGTTGCGAAGCAATGGGTTATTGAGTGTAAGTCGTGCTGTCGGGAAAACATTTCGTAAGGGCTTTCAAAACCAGAAAGTCGCCGATGCTTCATGCTGAGAGTAATTGTGAGAGACGGCGGTTGGGAGGGGTCAAAGTGTGCTCGTTTTCCGAAGCGTCTATTCTCTGCACTGGAAGGAGTTGCCGCGCCGATGAGAGTTCCGAGGTCCATGTTCACGAGACTCCTCTTGACTGATTCTCCATCCCCTAGTCTGCTAAAATTGCTTTATTATTTAGGTTGTCTCTGTCAAAGTGCAGAGAAGCAACGGTTTTGGATTCCTGGGTAGGAGGTGCGATTTTCCTAAAGTGCGAGTCAAACAGAATATGCGCCGGGGACCAAATCGAGTTGCGACATAACAAAAATCAGAGAAGCGGCAGCAGGGGATTCATGATCGCATAAGGTAAGGTAAACTGCCATAGCCTATCTGCGCAGAAAGTAGGTAAGCGAGACCACCGACACATAAGTGAAAAACAAATGGCGAAGGGGGCAAAGATCTCGTTAGTGGGGTTCCGGAAGTGCACACCGATGGATTGTGCCCACCGTCTTACCGATCGCGAGCTCGACGAAGGAAATGGTAGCGCCTATGC